TTCTGGACTGTCTCAAGTTTTGAACAAGCAGAACCAAAAAACTTTCTGTAATAATATCTGGTTGCTGCAAATACAGTTTTGACTGACCAGTATGCTCACATAATCAAATAAATTTCCTTACAGATGATATTGAAATTAGTTTGGCTTCAAAAATTATTCGAGGTTGTAAAAGTGTAGTTAAATATTTTACAAATTTCATGCTGCTGGTGAATATTTACAAGGAAAGATCACTTCTTATGATAACATGAAAGCAATATTTTTCTAAGCTCAAAAATAGTTATAAGCATACATCAATTATTTATCTCAATTCATTTGAGGAGTCTCATGATTCTAATGTCACAGAGAAAATGAGGAAATATTTTGATTTTGGATTAAAATAAAAATCAAAATCATCAAATACTTATGAGTGCATATAACTACATATATATATAAATGCAAATTTAATTCTTACCCGCATTTTTCAGCACAATTATGACTCACTTGATTTACAAATATCAATTAATTTCCATAAAATTCAACAACATGTCAAAATTTGTAGTTTCCTATTTATTACACTTACTTATAGTTCCTTGAGCTCCAGAATCAACAAAAGCTTTAACAGGATGTTCATTTACCTCAACGTCGATATATAGCATAGTTACCTAAATTTTTTATTTTTAATAAATGTATGTATGTATATATATATATATATCAATACATATAGTATATACAATATGGTGACTTTGATTTTATTACTATTGTAAGACTTACTTGGCCAAGGAATTCTGGATTATGTTCTAAGGCTGTCTCAAAATTAACTTTAACATTTTCCATTCTTATAGCCTCTTCGATCCTTCGTTGTGCTTCAACTTCAAGAGGATTTGCATTAAGCATATCCTAATTGATTGTTTTTTTATCAGTAGTGAACTTTATCTTATATCTAATATAATATCAATGAGCCAACATACTATCTGTTGCATTCTCTGCCTTTCACCTTCACGTCTTCGTTGTTCCATCTGTTGAAAGAGCGTCGCAAAACGTTCGCGATCGTTTAAAGCAGCGTCGGCTAATTCTGGTTGAGTCTAACAATATCCAATTAAATAATCAATATAGCAGCAATAGTTGAAAAAAAAGAAATGTTTTTAGCGCCTCTAATTGATAATAACATTACTTCACGCAATTGTTGTATCATTTGAGGCTGATTTAGTATCATTTGACGAAATAATTCTGCTTCTAGTGGAATACTAGAATAACAGTATGATAAATTTTGCCGTCAAGTAAATTAACAATTTTTATTTTTTAACCCAATAATGATTTATATCAAACATTATTACGTGCTAGCAGTTGTCTGAGTTCCAGTATTTCGTTTTTTAAGCAATAACATATCGTCTTGGTTAACTTTATATTGTTCAAGAGTTTTTTTAGGATCTGTTAATTCTACTCCATGATAAGAGAGAATCTGATTATTTATTAGTGTCCCTGTCTTTAATTGAAAAAATTAAACAATTCAATGTTTAATCACACAAAATTCAAGAATGTGACAATAATAAAGAATAAAATAAAATAAAATAAAATAAAACTTTATTGAAACCTCAGCTTCAATTAAGGCCTTGATGTTTTCTAATTCCATTTGTGAATCAACTTCCAAAAGATGGATCTCACCAATCTCGGTTGTAATTGTAATTCTCATTCTTAAAAAAAAAAGAAGTTAAAGTTTTTCGAAAAGTTAGTTATATTAATTGAATGCCAAACACATACTTTAAAAACTCGATTTTTATAGCTTGCTGTTTTTTTCTTGATCAAAAAAAAAGGAAGATTTTAATGTTAAATGAAAGGAAAATGTTACACGATGCATTCAAAAAGAATTTTTTTGGAACCACACTAGAAAGTTACTTGAAATGGATACATTCTTTACTGTTACTGTAACTATTGAATATAATAATAAAATAATGATTCCAAATTTGGCAACGATGTTAGATCACAATAACCGTTATTATGGAATTAACCATAGTAAAAAAATTGGATTGATTGTAAGCTCTTAAATATTTCATGATGAATAACTAATATAGATGATAATAACGTGGTAGTTGTGAGAAAAAATAAAAATAAATTGATATACGTGGAAAAAAAGAAATAGGTAGATTTCTTTACGGATGCAGAAAAACTACGTGTTATAAAATGGATTTCATTTTATGAGTTTAATATTATAGAGTATTCAGCAAATGGTGGTTTGGAGAATTTCATAAAGTAACACTGATTAATTGTTTTTACAATTCATTGCAAAAATTTAAGGGATAGTTGTATAAAATTCCAGAGATAAATTTTTAGATATTTTGAGAGGTAAAATTTATAAAATAGAAACTTATAAATTTTATTAAATACATATCCATAGCAATCCTACTTTCTTTAGTTAAAAGCAAATGGCGAAGTTGCATCTTATGTTAGTTATGGGTTAAATGAAAATGATTTATTTTACTATACCATTATATATCAAGGTACTTGACATATGTATATACAATTATATTGTTCATGTTATTAGATTAAAGGCAATTCGTTAAAACTAAATATTTTTCATAATATCATTTGATAGGACTATGTCAACAATTGAAAGCGAAAGTTTTGGAATAATATCTTACTTTGCACCTGAATTTATAACCTAAATCATATACAAAAGAGTCTAATAAATATGGCTTTAGAATGACAATATGGGAACATACATCAGGCAAAGGCCATTCTATAATAGATCACATAATCGTTGTCTTATTCTGGACATTCTGAAGGGGAGAAGACCTAAATAATTGGAGACGCTCCTGAATTCTATGCTGAATTGACAATAAGAGATGTTGAACTCCAATCCAAAAATAGACCAAAGATGAAGAAACCAAAGAACAATTAGGTGAATATAATTTTAATCCTTTAAAAAATATGAGAAATTGAAAAGAGAATATTAAATCAGAAAAATATTTATAGATGAAGGGAATATAAACTAATCTAATATAGCAGGCCAATTCATATTCATTTATTAAATCATTAAATAAAAACTTCAATTATTAATTTATCAACTTCAAATTATTGGATAAAATGTGATGACGTTAATAATAATGGTGAAAAGGAGGTGTAGAAAAAAAATAATTCAAATTAATTACGTTTTTATTTATTTTTGTTAATCTGCCACTCTTAATTAAAATAATTAATTTGACATATTTCAATAAATCTGTCTAAATGATCATACAAAAAATAGCATGTCAAAGGTAAGAATTTTCCTACTTGGTGTCAAAAACTATGAAGCTCTGACACCACTCTTTTCATTTTTCAGAATGTATAGCATCCTGAGAATTGGATGAAAATGTTTTGTTATGATCGAATGTTCACATTTGATAATTTCTTCACGCGTGGGCTTTTAAATTTATCAAATGAAAGTTCCTGAATAATTCCAAGGCTTGCTTTCCTCCTTTCTGATTTTGAATTATTGATACGATGTATTATATTTTTTGAAATTAAGCCTCTTGTAAAAATTTTCACAAAGAATGTGCAAGATCTAAGGATTGTTGAAATAAGGATTATTGTTTGTACTGCATATACATGTAATTAACCTTGTCATTGTTATTATCATTATTATTGTCGTTATAATAAATTTTCTCTCCTTCCCAATTGTATAGTTCTGATGATATTGATCACGGGTGTCAAAATTTCCTACTACAAACATGCAAGACTGTGCAATTAAGCACAATGGAATTTTTTTCCATTGGTGAAAGAGTCCTGACAAATTGGAAGATTTTTGACAAGTGAAAAGCTTCAATAGCTTCCCATTTAAAAAATAATAAATACAATTGACCAAATAAAAAATT